ACACTGGGATATTTCGACAGGAAAAGGAAACTGAGGAGCGCAAACAGCAGGCTGAATTAAAAAACGCCGCCTCGATCAGAAAGAAAACGCCGGCGTTAAACCCTCACACAAAGTGAGTCTCGTTTACTGCATCCACAAGCGATGAGTTATCGTCACTTTGTCACAAGAATGAACATATGATGGAGCTGGTAGATCTGTAAGAGGCTCACGTTACGTCTGCAAACCATCACCGAACAGAAAAAGTTTGCTTTATGCGGTGTTGGTAATCCTTCTAGCAACTTCTACGACGTATTTCAGACAAGAATGCACTTAATTTTAATTGCTTTTGAAGTTTACGGCGCCTACAGCCATCTCCAATCCTTTAAGGTGCAACGGTGTCCAAAACGGTGGCAGTATTTTATGTGTAAAAGCACCGCTGAGGAGCAGCCGTCATGGACTGCAGCGCTGCAACAGCAGTAGATGCTCATTTATCGGAGCAGAGAAGCGAGTTGCTCACACTCCACTGTGACTCACTGGACTCCCCAGAGGTGGAGGCAGGCTGCCCCAGGTAAGGATCTGAAAATAATGAGCTAAATTAAGCCAGTGGCACCGCTGCTGCGTGTCGTGTGCACGTCTCCTGGCTCGAAATAAAAAGCGTGTTTGATCATTTAAACTTACTTCTACGTACAGCGATGTACGCGTCTCGTATCAAGTGTGAGATTTATGATTTAAATCAAAGGAAAGAGTAAAGGTGTAAAGATAAGTAAGATCTTAATTTACTGGAAATATGCTCAAAATGAGGTCTGAGAACCTTTTTTTTTTTTAATACTTTGCTGAAGTTGCTTTCTGTTTAAATCTTTATCCCCATTAACCTGCTGAACCCTGAGCACTTTCTACACATTTTTTATTTCGCTCCTGCCACATTTTTACTCACTGGGCTGATTTTTCACTGCAGGATGAAGTCCTGCACCTCCACAGAAACAAAACAACCACAGCTAGAAGTAGAGAGAACTTAAAAATGGCTTCTGGAAAAGCTAGAATTCCCAAAAATATATAAAATAATATATTTTAAAAAAAAATAAAAATGTAAATCAGCACGTACACCATTTTTCCCAGTGCCCACAGGTCTTCCTCACACTGGATGGTATTATTATTACATACCATAGATATTTCATCATGTACATTTTTATTTTGTCTCTTATCTACACCGTGTGAACACTGCCTGCAGTTCAGCCCAAAACTCACAGAATTTCTGTCACCTGACTGCTGGCTGCAGCCGAGTCACTGATGGCTGCTCAGTAGCACCAAGGAGAGCAGCATTATACAATAATGCTTTAATTTTTGTGTATTATTAAATGACACGTAGATTTTTTTGAGAATCATACATTCTACTTTTACTGTTTCTACAGTTTCCAGCTCTAACACAGAGCGTGATTTTGCCATTTTTGGTAACAAAACATGTCTTTCATACCCAACGGCTGGTTTTCTGGTTCAGAGGATTAAGCACGCTTTAATAATTTATTCTGTAAATCAGCCCCGTCGATGCATATGTCCACTTCAGCTGCGTGTTCGGTGCGTTCGTGTGACGCCGCCCTACATGTCTGTGTGATGAAATCAGACTGAGGTTCATGGGCGTCACCGGGAACAGGTGTTCAGCGAGTGTCTGAGTGCCCGTGCATCTGTGCACTGTACGTATTGGTGTCACTAAAGATTAGTGGCTTCGCTCAGAGACAAGGGGTCGATTATGGAATTACAGGATCACGGAGGCTGCCTATTGTTCCTATATCCTGGGATCACTGAGTCCAACTGCCTGACTGTGGCACACATGAAGCGTGTTCAGAGAGCCTCTTGGAATAGGGGGCTCACCACAGATCACTGACTTCAATCAGAAGGGCCTGAAGAGCCGGTGTCACGAAACCTGAGGGCCGTGTGCAAAAACAAAATAGTTTATTGACTAACTTGATCCACCAATTAGAATTTAATCATTAATTTTGCATCTTTTGGCAAGAAATAGAAGCACAAAACATGTTAGGAAACGTGCAGATGACAAGAGAGCTAAGAAAATAGAAAATCTACAGACATCTATGGAAGAAATGCAATCAGGCCGGGTATTGTGCTGCACTATAATATCCTCTAATACAAAGTTCTGCACAAAACAAGACCTGCATTTACATAATTTAAAACTGACAATCCCCAGAGAATACTTTTCATATTCATCCCCTCTTAGAGTGTGTAGTTTGGTGCCTTGTGCTCTGCTCGGCTCGGTTTGCTGCACAGCACAACTGAACGCTAACAGACTGAGTGAGTGACCAGAAACAAGCTGCAAGCTCTCATCATTTCTGCCTCGATCTTTTTCCTGTCACCTTGCCCTTTAATTTCCACAGACAGACCAGAAGAGGCAGAGTGATCTCATGCTTTCAGTTTCTGTGCTCCCTGTCCTCTTAGCCTTACCCTGCTATTGGCTGATTAACCCTCACCCCTGCAGCCTCCCCCTCTCACCCCTCCGTCCTTCACTCCTGCTCTGTGATTTTCCTCTAATGCTCGGACGCCGTTCTCCTTCCAGCTGCATCCCTTTGCGCATTATCCTTCTGCTCGGCCTTTTCCATGATCGCCACCGTTGGACTTGTCCATTTGCTCGCCATGAAACAAAGTCAATCTCTCTATAAAAGCAGCTTAATGATAAACTGATCCGACGTTAGATAAAGAGACATATGCAAAGCTGTATTTGGACTGTCGCTAAAATGACTATATAGTTAAATACTGAACGCTTTTCCCTTCCTAGACTATAAAGTCTGTCAAATTTAACCACTTGCAAAGCTAGAATGACGAAGTTGCTTCATTTTAAGGAATAAAAACAAGAAATAAGTTGTTGAAAGCTAAACTGATCACTGTCCCAACCTCTCAATCAAGAGAGATCTGCAAAGTTAAACAAAAATCTGATATTCATCAATATTTCTGGCTAAGTACGGAACACTTTTCTCTCCTTGGAGTATAAAATCTGTCAATTTGTGGAGCTAAAATGAGGGCTCCCCTTAATTTCAAGGGATAAACAGCCAAAAATGACAGAACCACTAAATTAGTCATCAAAAAAAGTGTTGTTTAAAGCTAAAACTGTTTGCTCGTCCCATCTTCTCAAATAAACCGACGTATTGGTCTAAAGATAAATATGAAGAGGTCACAAGACGATTAAAAGCATGAAAATGCAAAGAATTACTCTAGGTTACACAAAATTCTGTTTATTTTTAGTGACTTTTCTCAAATATTTGACTTAAATGGTAACGACTGAACACGTTTCCCTCCTCAGTCTGTTAAACCTGTCAAAATAAACCAATTGCAGAGCTAAAATGAGGGATTTTCCTTCAGTTTAAGAGATAACAAACCAAAACAACCCACTAAAATCAACAGAAAATCAGTTGTTTAAAGTTAAAATACCAACTGTTTGTTCATCCCAACTTCTCAAATAAAGAAACTGTGCCAATGAACATAGAGACGATCACTGAAAGACTAGCTGATTAGTCCAGTGGTCAAAAGGAGCCTGAACATAAATGTGAAGGGGTCACACAGTTACACACAACTCTGTATTTTTCAGAGGTTATCTGAATATTTAATTTTACAGGGAAGACTTTTCCCTCCTCAGCTTATAAAACTCGGTCAAATGACACCGTTTGCGAGGGTAAAATAAGGGCTAGCATTAAGATCCTGCTATATTTAAAGATGAACAAGCCAAAAATGATGAGCAACACTAAAGTGGTTCGATGCAAACACTGCTCGCTGATGCCAACTCCTCAAACGCGAGGCCACGATGTCGGATCTCTCACAAACAGAGATGTATATGCAAAGCCGTCAATCAACGTAAAGAGGCGTTTGGACATCAAATGTGGAGAGAACTGCCATCAGTACAAGAACGACACCATAAATCTGTCTGCTCCCCCTCCTGGAAGCCACGGCTCTGACTGTGGAGAGATGGCACCTGCCTGCGACGTGAACTATGATCCTGAGCGGCACATGCTTCACGGCCCGCCACTGCCTCGCCCTCGCTGCGACTGGCTGGCACATTAAAACCCACAAACATATGGTGTTCCTCCTCTGAAAGTGCACTTCTCTTTCAAGCAGGAGAAACGAACAGACTTCAGAAACAAAGCTGTCGGTGTTTCTTCACACGCAAATTGGTCACCGAGTGCGAGATTTAGTTTCCACCCACATTGTGATCTACTGCTGGAGAAGCCCCGGTTTAGGGCACTTCAGCCTATTGTGAGATAAAAGCGACAGAGGAAACAGAGACAAAAGGCTCCCGCTTATCAAAAGGGGTCAAAATATGAGCCTTGTTCTTGGAGGATGTGGAGGCAGAGGACGCCTGTTTGATTGGACACGCCGCTCATCACCTGCTGCAGCGTAATAATGGAAATGTAAGCAGCTACATGATTGCGCCACATACATGCGTCAGGCTCTCTCATACCCACAACTCTCTCCAGCGTGGGGCCGCGGAGCACCTGAGCGGCTGCGAAGAAGGGAATAACATCGCCATCTAGAGGCTTGAGTGGGCATGCCTCCCCTCTCCTTGGACACACAGCTCTGAACAGAAAAACGCTTGTCATGCTCTCCCACGTTACTCACACTCTTCTCAACAAGTGGACTCAAAGAGCCTCAACAGGGAGCTGTCCGACAAAACCACAGCGAAATACACGAGGAGCACGAGAGCAACCCCCCCATCCCCTTCAGCGTCCGAAGCATTCATCCACTGCTTGATGAGACTCAGAACTATAGCTCCCCATGCAAGGTCACTTCCAGCCGGCATGCAATATCGCTGGGGTGAGAACGAGGGGGGAGAGAGACAGAGAGTGGAGAGAATGAGGGAGGATAAATACTTGACACACAGATAACCTTAGATGAGAGCATGCACAGCTTGGTGCTTGACTGTATCTCAATGGAGAGGAGAGCGGTGGAAAAAAATAAAGATTAAGGGATGGAGTGGAAGCCTCCGCAGAGCAGATTTTTTATTTTTATTTTTTCTTTAATCTTACCTATGATGGGAGCCAGGCGGAATATGTCAGACAGACGGCTGTTCACCGGTTCATACGGAGAATCCTCCAAGAAATCATTACCTGTGGGGGAGACGAGCACGTGTTAGAGACGGATAGATGGATGGATTTGTTTTTAACCCCCTCCTGCTTTGTTTATCATCCTTCACCCCTCACACTGGCCTGCATGTGACACGGGTTATTTGGGTCAGTCGATATCCACACTGGCACACAGCCACACGCTTGATTAGGCAGGTTGGTCAGCTGTGTTGCGCAACTGGAAGTCGAGTCAGTGGCCACGGAGCTGGATGCAGTTTAGGGAACTAAAAGGCCCCCCTGCTACGATCAACACTTTAAGATGGCACAGCCAGCGCTGAGGGGCTTCGCGCTCCATTACCTCCGAGGAAAGTGATTTAGGAGGTCAAAAAGTATCTCGGCTCTGCAGGACCGTGGCCGTGAGCCGAGTCGGGGGGCCAAATTTGAATGAAAGTTGAGTGATTGCGTGTGATCGCGCTGGCTGTGTGCTACTTTTCAAGTTTGTGGTGGCGGGGATGGACGGGGAGGGGGGGTCATGGAGCTGGATGGAGAGGGCAGGAGGGAGGGTCAGGGCTGATTGTGGCTGAGGGGGAGGAGCTGGAGCTACTAATCATCTCACCCTTTCACCGGATAGATTAGAAAACCTATGGGGAACGTTACATTAACTATAGCTGCAGGGTGTTCTCTAAATCTGGTCAGCAAAAGAACCCAGAGGGGCTTTGTGGGGGGTCGTGGCATCCCCAAATCCTTTTACACAAAAACAACACTCTGACCAGGAGCTCACACACTTCTACATCAGTGTCTAGTAAAGTTTCCAGCAGCAGAAGCCAACCTTGTAACGTCTGATAGATCCCCCAGTAAATGCGGAGGCAGTTCTTCTCCTTCTTCATGCCCCTTTTACACCGGCAGTTGTACAGCGGACTCTGCTTGAGCGCGTCCATGGCGCTCCGGCACTCGTCCTTCGCCTCCAGGCCGGCCACCATGCTGAAGTTGCTCTCCTTGCCGCCGGCCACGCACTGCCTCATGGTGCGGTACTTGGTGCTGCACGCCTGCTCCTTCAGACACTGCTCGCTGGCCCTCACACAGTCCAGCCGGGTGGCTCCGGCGCGCAGGTTCTCCTCTGCGTAACACAACACATCTGGAAACACAAGTGGCAATTCACAACAACAACAATAATAATCATAATAATAATAAAACTCTGAATAATGACGCCTCCTTTCATTTCTCGGAGGTTTTTTTTTTTTTTTTTTTTGCTCACTTCTTTAGGCTTAAGCACTTTACAAGCTGCTTTCAGGGATTAAAATATTACAGAGCTTTTATATTCGAGCATGACAAACACATCTAGGTCGCTGTAAAGGGATCCATATGGGGTGCATCTCGTGGAACTGAACGCGCATTCATAGTGGAGCCGTGCAGTTAGTTTTCTAGCAGCGAACAGTAGAAATCTGCTTCACTATTGTCAGCTTTGACTTTTGCGTTTTGGAGCACTTTGGACAGCTGCAGCGTCCAGGCGCCTCCACAGCAGACCTCGCTGAGCAGCGGCTGCCTCTGACGGGCTTCCCCTCTTTCTTTCTTGCTTTCTTTTTTATTTATTAATCGAGCTCACATCTCGCCATTAAACATTAAAAGCACCTATGGGATGGATCTGTACGAACCGCTGCTAGTGCGAATCGAGTCAAACTTACCAAAAAGAGGCAGAAGAACATACAGGACTGCGAGGATCATCGTTTTCCTCTGCATGTGAAACAAAAAAAAAACCCTTGTTGGAACGAAATGCGCGACTTCAAAAGCGACTTAGTTTAATTCCCAGGGTACTTCCACTGTATTGAAATCCATTGAAAAGGTGCAGCAGTGTGCGCTCCGCTCCTACACAACAGATCCAGCTCACGCGAGGAATAATTTCCCTTCCACACAAACAGCAACAACAACAAAAAGAAGTGTCCAGTCCCGATTCAGTTTCTTTCAGTCTGCGTGGAAAAATAAAAATAAAAAAATCTCTGTGTATTTCCTCCCCGTTGCGGGTGGTCTTCTCACCAGCCAGCCAGGAGACAAAGACGCGGAGAGGAGAGCAGCGGTGGAGGCGAAACGGGCGAGTGTCCTCCAACAACTCCAGCCAGTGGGATGCTTGCGTCTGTGCGTCTGAGCGCACACAGCCAACTGGAGTCCCACTGCTGTCTAGCGCATTCAGCAGGAGGAGAGTGCCAGCTTCCCCCTCTGCGCTATAAAGTACAGTAATCTTATCATAAATTTACAATGATAGACCTTCCCATCACTGCACACGCACTCCCCTTTAATGGCAGTTTCACAACGCGCAGCGCACACAGTTAATAATTAGCGCCTGGCTCGCGGGTCGGCTCCACTTTTCCCTGCACAATTTCACTTTCACTAAACTTTTCTGCTCTCATAGCTGCTCATAAACACTTTTTTTCAGCGCACATATCACAACAAAGGGCATGTGATTGAATTTGAAACGCTGTGTGGGCTGCTTCTATATTTGTGGACAGGCAGAGGGCAAAGAGCACGACTCCTGCGCATTTTACACGACATGATTAATATAGCAACATGTGGAGCAGCTTACATGGCAATTTGTTAGATCTAAACTGGAGTGCAGAGATAAGGTGAATGGATATATTTCAGCTGCACCACACATGATATTTCGAGCATGTGTGTGTGTGTGTGTGTGTGTGTGTGTGTGTGTGTTTGTGGCTCCTCCCTGTTTGCTATTTGCAAAATGGAAAAAAAAAAAATGCAACAGCAGCTGCCAACTCTGAAGAAAGAGTAGACTCCTCTGTGTTTGTTAATGGCACATGTAAGAGGTGTAAAATACAGCGTTTACTAAATATGTTGCGCTGGGAAAGGGCAGCAGCCGCAGAGGGGAGCGCAGGCTGGGAGACTGTCGCCATCTGTCGGTGATGGTAAAGTAAAGGTCACTGTTAAAAGTACTGATATGAGAGCATGCTTTCAAGCCACACTGCAAGATATTTCACGTTGCATGTGATCAATTCACTGTCAAACGGCTGGAAATGTAACAAACAGATCATGATTACAGCAGCATGGATGATGCACCGCGCCACTGGTAACTCTCCCTATACGTCTCATTGATTGCCAGTATGGTCTATTCAGATGCTAATCCACTTGGCTAAATACATGGGACGAGACTATGTCAATGAGGCTCTCTCTGCATTAAAAACTGGGATGAATCAATCAGGGATGCTGGCGCCCAACGCAGTAAATCAGCCTCTTGCGCAGAGCGGGGAGAGGGCAGCCTCGTTCAGAGATGGGATGAAGGAGTAGCTTATTTGAACGTCAGTGAATAATCCCTTTTTGAAAAGGAAGTCGTGAGGTACAGATGAATCAATCCTGCAGGGTACAGCCACTTTTAAAAATGACTTTGCTAAATAGGCGTGCCACAGGCAGGCCGGTGTCCGCCGCTAATGTTAACGGGAACACGACTGGAAAAGAGACAGAAAAATGGGAACAAATGAACGACTGGCTGCAATGTGGGATAATTGTCTGCTTACAATTTGATGACTTTGCTGTTCTAAAGTCTCCAAAGGGAACCTTGCCAGTCAGGGGAAGGCTCAGTCTCGGGTGATTTATGAAAAGCCTCAATCAATACGTGATATTAATTTTGCAAATGAATGTCAGAATGATGTAGTCCTCGGGTCATTTAGCGTTTCACACTGTAATGCGCTTCATGGCACCGGATCAGAAGCTTTTCTCCTGTCCCAGAAGCGAAACGGGAAAATTGGTCAAAGTCAGGAATTGTGTGACAAATGTTCGCGGTGGGTCTCGGCGGATTACTTTTGAGAGAGCTGACTGTGCCGATACAGCACTTCACAGCGTTCAAGACTCGAGTGAGAGTCGGGCTGATGAATGCCGGCGCAGAGCAGGTGACTACAGTTAGCCAACACTCTGATAAGCTACCCTCAGAAAGCCACGGGACGAGGAAACGTCAAATTAATAAGATTTATTTCAGCTTACATGGTGGTTTGTGTCTATCTGACATTTACATACGGTTCAGTGGCATGCACTGGTGGTTGGCGAGCGTCAAACTGGTGCATTACCGTGTGAATCAGATGGGCTAGCGTTTAAAAAAATAAATTACTTCATGACAAACGGTGGCACTGCAGGCATCTAACATCCTAGCTACAGTCCTACATGACATCCCAGTTTCTAGCATGCCAACAACCCGTTCTTGTCTTGTCTTCTTGCATCTGTGGCGTCGTTTCATTTATAAAAAAGCTGGACTTTTGAGGAGGCCTTTCAGAGTGTCTGTCTATTGATCACATCGTCTGATCATTGCCCTTTAAAGTCACATCTGAGGAGGTTGCGGATGAACACGAGGGTCGAGAAGGTTGTCACGGCTCTGAAACTTTTTGTGCACCTTTTAGTGGCTAAATTTAACACTTTTCTAATCATAACAACAGAAATGAGAATTTCTTTTCTTAGTTCTTGCCTTTTTCAGGAGTCTCAAAACAAAAAAATAAATAAAAAAGAGAATTTTACCTTTTGCATTAAGTCAGAAAAAGAAGAACAATTGAATGCCGTGTTTCTGTTTTGTTCAGCGGTTCGTCTAAGATACTGAAATGTGATTTGATAACACTTCTTGAGTTCTTTTGTTGAATGTTTATTAAATCAAACTGTGCTTTTATCTTTCTGAGATTTGGGATCTGATGTCTTCTTCTTGCCTCATATTCCTGACAATGCAACAAAACAAGCTCTATTGTTTCCTTCTTCCCCACAGTAGCACATCTGCCTGTATTGTATTTACCTGTTTTGAACACTGTATTGTTTGGTCCAGTGTGTCAGAATCTACATCTTGATATTAATATCTCATCTCACCTGCTTTGTGAAACCACCGGCCTTTCCTCTCTTTCTCTTCCCACTGTTTTTTTCAGTTTCTACTTAATAATGCTCTTTATTTCTGTCCTGCTGAGGCCAAATCAATGCGATTATTTGTTGTGGCTTCCTTTGCGGTCGTATCTGTTATTTCATTTTCTTTAACGCCAATATGTGCTGGTAAAAACTATTACTGTTGGACCGATCATTTGAATTCTGTAGGATGTTTGCGAGATGTCTGGCCCGCTATCTGAATGACTGAACTGTAAACTGGTTCGGGATGAGCTTGAACAAATGATTGCTCTCGGTGGTTTTGCACGCTCTATCCGGCGCACTGCAAACAATATTGTAAGCGATTTCTCCCTATTTCTCCTGTGAAACTGATAATCCCTCGCTGACCCCTTTTCCTACTTTAAGATGAAACTCAGGGAAAAAATAAAAACAACTCCAGTTCTATTAGCTGCACTCTCTACAACACCTGTGTAGACCTGGATCTTACCGCGGTAGAATGAATTTATAATCCCAGTTTTGATTTATAACATTTTTTAATCCACATGCTAGTGTTTACTGTTGCACTAAAACAGTCACATCCCTTGTACCTACTTGGCAATAAAACTGATTCTTCTGTTCTAATCATGCACTGTGGCATCAAGAAGTACCTGAGGTTGTACTGCTGGCAGTAGCAGAGTTATTTTTAAATTCTCCTGCTTTTTCTGCCTTTAATTTTTCTCTCTGTTGGTTGATCTTGACAGTGACTGTGAGGCTAGCTAGCCGTTAGCAGACGCTACATCCGGGACATGAGCAGCTAGCTAGCTACCTAACTTGATTATAGTGGGGGTTTTTTCGGCATTTTTTACAGAAATGTTTTACCAAACTGCGCCTGCGAACGTTTCGGCGTTCTTAAAGTAGAACAAATGAAAAACGCAACGATATTAGCGATCACAGATGTATGTACGTAGAACAAACAAACCGTCCGTTGTCAGCCGCGGTGCATGATGGGGCGGAGCCGTAAAGTCCGATTATTTTTAACAGCTGCGTCAGAGGCACGTCGGCCAGCTAGCTGAGTTAGTTAGTAGGCGCTAACTAGCTAACTTCATTCACTACTTACTTTAACCAGCTGTTTAGCCCAAATGAGTTTAAACACACTCTTACAACAAATCCTTCTAACCGAGCAGCAGTTAGCTGAACAGACACAGAAATTAAAAGATGGTAGGGTTATTTTTATTTTTTATTTTTGTAGTTGCTCTGCTACATTTCAGCTAGTACTAGCTAGCGGCTAAAGCTACTATGCTAGCTTGCTATTTTTTTAACATAAACTTAACACTAGGTTATTTCTTGGGAGTAAAGTTATATTTATACACACTAATTTAGTGTCATTGGGGGAATTAGCCCAAAGATCATAAACTGATAATTGCACAACTTTTAAGTGTTGGTAAAATTCATATTAAGGGTAAGACACTTTGCTCAAAGTAAAAAACACCATAAAGCTTTCTTTCTATGTGTACAGGATAGCTAGAGGAGTAGTTCTTTAGCTGTGTGTCTTGGATTTAGTCTGTTTATGATGGTTTACAGCTATAATCTTGTGACAAAACCACTGTGCTAGATCAGAGTTGCTCATGTTAGCTTCCAGCTGGAATGAAATTGGACGATCTTAAAGGTTATTTATGCTGATTTCATTTGTTAAAATAATGTTTAACAGTAATTTGGGTGATCAAGCCTTTAAGTAGTCTCGAAGAAGAGATGCAGGTCCAGGTGAGGTGAACAATTTCACCCGTGAAGTCCCACAAGACAGCACCCAAAATAGATCATTCATAGCAATCAGATTGGATCTGCTGTCTGATAGAAACCACTGAAAACCCCGTCAATGATCGGCTTCTTCCTTTCCCTCCTCCTGTCTCACCCGCACCTCATTGTCTTCATCCTTCTTCTTGTTTTTTTGAAAGTCTCTTATATCCACAGCCTTCAAGTCTGCTTTAGTGAATTCAGATACCGACAATAACGAGTTCTGTAATCGGTGCGCTGCCTTTTGAGCGCTCGTTGAAAATGTGTGAGTGTCAAGTAGTGTGAAGGAGATCTGCTGCTTGAATAACACAAAAAAGAACCCAAAGCATCGGCTTCTTGTGTTTGTGATCAATTATTTTGGAGGACTTTGATGCTCAGAATGAAAGATAAATAGATCTAGGGCTATTTTTGTTTCATCGGTCTTATTTTTGACATCCAGGGCTATTCAGAAAATATTCAGTGCTGGTTACTAGCTAATCATTTCCCTTTATTTTAGTTAAAGTAGCCATCATCAGGTGCAATGACAAGATCAAGAGCGCCACTGAGAAGTATGAAAAGACGAGTGAGGAGCTTGATAGAAAGGTGAGGCTGCATCACATGTTGGTTGTTCGCTCTTTATTTGCTACTAATGTGTGAAAAACAAACATAGAGAAAGCATGACAGTGTTTAAAGCATGTTTCAATAGATGACATATATCTGGGCAGGCTCCTTGAAGTTCTTATCAAGAGGTTGCTTGAAGTTCAAACCCATTAATTGTGCACTTTGATGGTTTCCATCAGTTTTTTACCAAATATTCACTGACCAGCTGTAATTGCTTTTGGTTGGTTACGGAGCACATTGGCCCGTTTTCTTACATTTCAGAGCGTAAATACCTGCCTGTTTGATGGCGCAGGTGATTTACGGTCGAGTAGCTTGATGTTTGCACGGCCTGGTGTTCATTTCCTTGGTGTCATATCATTTGAATTGACTGTGAACTATGCCTGTAGATAAGTGTTCTTCTGGGCATCTTGCACCAGGAATAGTAACATCATATAGGAGGCACCAGTTAATATTTTACGAGGCCGGAAGGAAATATATCATTTTGCTAATAACCTGATAGGATGCCTTTATAAAACTGAGCAATACTTTCTCCTAAAATGTAAACAGAAAGAGATAACAAATGCAAACTCTTGGTCATAACTGTGTTAGCTCTGGGGGGCAGCGTACAAGTGGCAGTGACACATGAGCCAAAGAAGTGCATATTGGCATATTGATGAGCTGATCTGCTTTATGATTTAAAACGCTTAATCTCCGCCATTCGTTTCATCAGCGATCGATTGCGAGTGCCACTGTAAAATCAATGGCTAATTTCCTCCGGATAACATTAGTGAAACCTTTTAGCATGTGTGAGATATGATGTCAAACCTTGTTGACCTTTCAGAATTATTGCCAACTTCTTCCTGTGCCGGTGAAAGTGGACATCCGATCAAAAGAGCAAATTGCTAATTGGAAGAGGTGCCGAATCCAACGCCGTGTCCGGCTGGGTATCATCTGCACGAGGCCGCATGGCAGGAATAGAATTTCTGCCTCCGTGGGATGGAACATTGAAATTGTTTACATCACACAGAAATGCAGGGTGTGTTTACCGCCCGGCGTGTTTACAGCTCTCATGATGTACCGTCTCACAGTTTATGAGAGCTGTCTTAAGATAATTACAGTGTTTAGAAAACTTGGAAGCTGATTGTGCCTACTGAAAACGGACTGCGCTTCTCCGCTGCCACATAAGAAACAATAAACCGGCTGCCTCCCTGACAGCTCCACTAAGAGACTGAAACTGTACAGAAAGTCGAGCCCAAGGCAAAACTTTACCTTCCTGTATAATTTGGCAATTTTCCTTCTGTAAGGGTTCAGTGTATAATTACAGAGCAGGAGGGAGCACGAAATGAGAAAAGCCTGAAAGTTAGTGGCACAGGTACGCTAAAAAAGAAACTTGTTGTTGAAGAAGCTGCCAGTGTTTGGTTGTTATCGTCTTGTACAACATGCCCAGGTTCCCACTCGTCAAACTTCCATCTTATCTCTTTTTTTTCTCTCACATTTAACTGTAGCATCCCTCTCTTTGTACATCTGTCTGTCAGATCTTGAATTATCGTTGTGCTGCAGGTCCAGCAGTTGTCTGCGATGAAGCTGCAGCACAATCTGACGAAGAAATGTGAAGACCAGCTGTTGAAGCAAGTCGAGGAGCTGCTCTGCCAGAAGAGCCACCTCGAAGAAAGTCTGGTGGGTTGAAGCCTGAATCAATATTTACATTTCAGATCACGCTGGCTATGCGCTCTATAGATCATAGTGGTCTGTAAAATGAAAAACTCTCCATCCCAACATCCCAGAACCCAACATGATGATTTTAAAATGCTTGTTTAAGATCCTGAAGGGATTACATTTACATTGATATGAAGCAGAAAAGACCAGATGCTCTTCGTAGATGCAAAAACCAGCAAATGCTTGTTATTTCTTTGGAATATGTGACTTTCTATTTATCTTGAGCCCTTTGACTTGAAGGATGGGTTCAGCAGCAGAGAGCTCACTCCACTTATTAAATCAAGCTTCTAAGAAACTGAACTACCAGACTTCCCAGGAAGCATTTTGAGAGCTAAAACCTGCCAGAGACGAGACTCTTGTTTTTTTTGTTGTTTTTTTTGTAGTTTGAGAAAACGTGTACCTTTGTTAAATGAAATTATTTCTTTTCATAATAATCAAAACAAATATGTATTGAATTCACTCCTGCGTTTGTATAATAGACTAATTTATCTCACCGGGACTCGGGGCAGCCTCACAGATCGTCTGTGTTCTGGTCAGAGATGGCCTCAGTGGGCTGTGTGCAGTATGGATACCTGGTCAGCTCCAATCTATTTTGTAGTGTCCACGATAAACATTATTTATCATTTAGTGTTTAAAATGAAAAACTGTCCCAGAACCAAAGAAGATATTTTTAAAAAAGTGCTTGTTTGAGACCCTAAAGGGAATAAATGTGCAGCGATATGAAACAGAGAAGATCAGATGCTCTTTGCAGAAGTAAAAAAACAGCAAATGGTTGTTCTTTTTCCTTGTGAACAGCTTTTAGACCGTGTTCTGTTTCGTCAATCAACCGATTGTGTCAGCGCCTGGACGTTCCTTCAAAGCTATATTTTAGCTGATCACTATAACTTTGTGTTTATTTAAAAGCATAAGTGCATGAAAGAGCACATATGAAGCTCTTTACTGAGGGATCCAGATTGTTTTTCATATTTTTATCACTGTTTGCCTGCAGTAGTTGCAGTAGTTGTACGAGTCTATGGGGTTACAAGCAGCTGTATTATTGTAGGGCAATGATCCTCCTTTGCATGCCAGGCCAAGATAAAGAGGGAGTCTAAAGAAGAAGAGGAAAACTTCCTTCAAGAGATCTCAAGGTTCAACAGTGACTTCAGTCTTCGGGGGAACAGAGAGACAGTGTTTGAGAGCCAAACGCACACTGAGCTCCTGGACCTGGAGAGGGAGGTGGAATCATTATACAAAGGTCATAAAACACTTTATTGTACTGTTGTCAGAGCAGACAGAAGTTATGTAATGCAGATGTGACTGCTCAGTTCAACATCATTAGTAATTTCTTCCTGTATTGTACAGTAGAAGCTGGTAAAATACGGAGCAGCACAAAGCGATGGATTAGAATGATGTTTATAGCAATGTGATGTAAATCCATTCACCTGAACTCAGTAACTGGATTCAATGCTGAACGAGGTGAAACCGAATCGCTGCTACTATATGATTGTATAGTTACAGCAGGGACGCTGTATGGAGAAGAGAATAACAGAAGGTGGAAGGTTTTGGAAAAAGAACATTTTATTGAATTGGAAACAAAAAAAAAATCTTCAGTGCTTCAGAATCTGTCTAGACGAATAAAAATCAAGAAAGGCACTCGGGAAGCGATGCTTAGTTAAAACGGAGGTGATTTGAGCTTGAAAGCTACAAGTGTTTGTGCTCGGATGTTTCCTGACAGCGTGCCGAGGTATCTGCTAACAGAATACGATGAAAGAAGCTAGTTTCTCACATGTAGTCCTAGAATGTGTTGAGTCCAGAATCTGCTTCTTTACAGTCCTCACAAACCAACCTACAGAGTTCATATGAGTTCAAAGCTGCTTCACTTTATTATTATATTTAAATTCTGCGCAGCTCGCGCTCACAAGAGACGTTATTCTGTGATTGTTGTAGACATTCCTGTGTGCTTCATTGGATTATAAAATGCGGTATGATGCACTTGTCACTAGATTGAGGGTACAAATCTTAATCGTTGTCTTATGTGTTATAGCCCAACTCAAGAGAACAGCATTCTCTGTTTGTACACTTAAAAGTGAATTCTGAAAATGCCCACATTGCACCTTCTGCAAGAAAAAAGAAAAAAACTTTTGCATTGTTGAGCAGAGAGAAACTCAATATAAAGTTCAGCACTTCTGGTGCTTATAATTCAATCGATGCTGAAGCCAAACTGAAATCTGTTCTTCTTTCCGTCAGAGATGGAGTCGATGAGCTGCGGGAACAGTCACACGAGCCGCATGGAGGAGGAGAAACGAGCGCTGCTGCTGGAGCTACAGGGCCTGGACGGCGTGCACAAAGGTGAGCCGCACAAGCTCGCTTTAAATCAGATAACGGGGTGTCTGGAAGCGCAAATGCAAAACTGCTTCTTCACCTCTTACACCACAAAGTGACTGCAGGCAGTTTTTTAAAAGCATTTTAGGGCCCTTTGTTGTTTCAGATTCATCCACACAGCCTATAGGAGACTTTTAAAATTCAACTTTGCTGCCAAGACGGTTGAATCTTGAGCCCAGATGTTGAATATAAACATGTCGGATTCTGGCTCCATGGTTTGGTTGGAATGCAGGTCACTGATGATGCTGAACAAACATGTAAATCTGTGTTAAAGGGGCTCCACAGTATACCTAATGAGTTCAAAAGAATCAGGTTTAAGTGTGTTTGTAACAAAAAGGACTAACCCGATGTGATGCTAAACGTACTGGACTGAAGATAAAACCCTGTCTGGGATGTCAGTGGGAAAGGTTAGAGCCTCCCAGGGTTTTACTGTATAATCCAAACCCCGTCCCACTGGCTCAGCAAACATCTCAACAATGCACATACAGTACGCGTCTGTCTTGTTTGAGCGAAGCCATTTACCGTTTGATTTATTCCTCTTGACTGCAGACTTGGGTCGGCAGCTGAGTGCGGCTGAAGCAGTGACAGAATCTCTGCGATCGGAGAGCCAGTTTGTCAGTCAGAAGCCTCTCGCTGACAGCACCTGTCTGCGGTGAGTACCGGATCGCTGAGTGGCTGCAGACGGAGGTTTATTCACTCGGACGCACAGACACAGTACACGGAGTCTTAGTTACTGGCAAATTACATCATGTCACAGAGCACAATCCCCACGAGACGGCCGCCGACGCCGCGGGGAAATAAAAGCAAATAAAACGCAAAAGGAGAAAATGGAACAAAACAAAATGTAAACACAGCAGCGGGCTGTTTAGCAGTTCATTAACGTTGTTATTTCGCAGAGGCTTCCGTAGAGCTTCCCGGTGTTTTAAATATTACTCGCCGAGCAGCTGTGATGTTTAATTAGTTGAGGATTTTGTGTCTTGTGAAGGCTGTCAGAGGGCCTGTTGTTGTGCAAAAACACAACCCTGTGGTTTTTCTTTAGTATAACTGATAAAAATCCATCTCAGTTGTAGCTCTAATTGCTGCAGTCACTCCTACAATGTTAAATGCACTTAGAAAAGCACTGAGGAGAGAAACACAGTGCACAGCCCATCAGATAAAAGGTGTTATTTACGAAGAGCAGAGCCGAATAATACTGTGAGAAACGCTGAATGGACCAGTAAGCCCAGCTCCTGTCTGTGTTTCATTCTCTTTATCCTCCTGGCTGGAGTCCAAATGTAGAAGTGTAAATAACAGAGCATTAAGACCATTTGGCTTAATTAAGGCTTTGATCTGCAGCGTATTTCATTTAGTCAACAAGTGGAGGGAAAAAATAAAAAGAGAGAGACGGAGGCTAATGTGATTGATACAAGGAGGTTTGTAAAGGAAAATGAATGAGGGGCATTTACACTGAATGCTTATCCAGCGACTCGCCAGCAAATAAATACAGTTTTGGGTTTTAGTGGAATCATACATCACGCTTTAACTGGGAAATGGTAAACTAAGCATTTACGGAGGAACCCGAACATCCTTCCACACGCTTACGTGTGCGCGTGTCGCAACAACGAAGCAGCAGAGAATTGATAGCGCTCTTTGAAGGAGCTGTACAGATCCATCTTCTCTGCACCTCAGAGGTGCATTAAAACTTTAAAAAATGCAACTCATAACACTTCCTCGAGGGAAACTTTTGCCACGCGTTTATCAGACGTAGTTGCCTCATCATGTTTGTCTCTGGTTACGACATTTTTTTAAATTTGACCTTTATTTAACCAGATAAAAGACCCGTAGAGATCAAAACCTCTTTCACAAGCGTGACTTGGCCTAGAAAGGCAGCGGCACACATCTACAAATCAACACAACAAAACAATCACAAAATAAACATTAAAATTACCACTGTACTTTACTTAAATGTCCACTGCGAAGGCATTCAGTCAGATCAGCTTCTGTTTCTTAGTTTGCTAAATGTGAGTTTTTGAATTTGGCTAAAAAAATGGTCAGATATTTATTTTCAGACCACTTTAGAACCTAAAAACACCAGTTTTTGTCTTGTTGCACACTGCCTGTTTAATTTGCTGTATATTTGGCACATTACATATTACAAATATGTAAATCTACCACGTATCAGTACTTCTGGGAGTAATTGTCGTGCCAGGAAGTGTTTTACGCTTAGTGTCAGGCGTGAACTCTCGACTGTGATTGTAGCTCTGACAAAGTAATGCCCTGCAAAGGATCAGAAACATATTTATTTATCTATCTTGAGTCATTTTCACTTCAAATGAAGAACCAAATTCACCCAAGTCATGAAATTAAGCTCATCAGAAACAACACTAGCATATAAGCAAACATCCCAGGATACATTTTTAGAGTTAAAACTCCCCACAGACTCTTGTTTTTCTAGCTAGAGAAAGCAGACATGCTGGAAACTTGCTGATTATCTGTTAATTTAAGTCCTGCTTCTTTCTTTTTGCAATAATCAAAACAATTCTAACCTTGACAGAGGTTAGTACTGAATTCACCCTGAATACATTTGTATAATAGACTAGTTCATCTCACGTTAACAGTCAGAAATGGCTTAAATAGTTGAGTTCCTAACGTTCAATGAAGAAGAGACTCTAAACTGAGAAGATGTGAAAGGAAAAGAAAGTCAGTCTGTAACTGGTATCTGTGTTAATAAGTTGATTTGACTTCAGATTTTCTCAAGTTTAGCTGTTTTAGATCAGCTGGTTTTACACTTCAACAACTTATAAGATGAATTTGAACCTATAATTCAACTTAAGTGCAGTTAACTCTCATTTTAGGGCAGCAGAAGAGCGTTTTAGTTTTTTTTATATCAGGTCTGATCTTGAAAACACCACCTTCAGCGTCTGCATAGTCACTTTGGCATCTATTCTGTCATCCAGCGTAGGACATTGTGGACGCGGTTGCTTCTCGATGTAAAATAAAAAGAACCCCATCCACCATCTATTCTGGAAGCTGCCAGCTCCTTTAAAGCCCCAAGGCCTCCGCGATGCATCAGCCGGCACATCGCTCCAGTCAGGCCTCATTTGCTTACCGGTTATCAGTGAAATACTGAATCGATTTTAAAATTTTACTGTTTGTCTTTAAAGCCCTTAATGGTTTAGCTCCACTAAACATTACCGATGTGTTAAATCCATATTCTGCCCCGAGGTCACGCAGGTCAGCGTCACAGCTCTGCTCCCTTCAGTCGTCCACTCAGCACCTCGAGGCTTTTGATCATTGACTGCATCCCGACTCTGGATCAGTCAAACATTAAATCCTGTCTGGCTAATTTACAGGCTCACCTTCTACCTCTTGCTTTTGGTTCTGTCTCGTCCAGTAACTTTGCAGTTCCATCGTCTTTTCTTTGTCTTTTTTTAAACTTAATTTTTCATTTTCTTCTTGCCAATACGTGTCAGCCTCTTACACGGATGTTTTTCATCTTTCCACTGCAGACCATAATATATGTTTTATTTATTCAAGTTATCAGACCTTTCATATCCTCCTGATTTTACTTTGGAAGTCCTGTATATTTGTATTGTTGATCCGTTGAACGGGAAGCACTTTGGGTCGACTTTGGTTGTTTTTGAATGAGCTATACAACTAACGGCGTCTCCTCTCCGTATACTGCTGGTTTCCCAGAGAAGACGAGCTGTTGCTGTTTTAGGCCTCATGCTGTGGTGGCTTATTTTTGCTGAATTCTGTTTTGCAATGTAAATAATTGCTAATGAGTAAAATCTATATAAGTCTGTGAAGTCCTGTGAGATATGGGTTTGGACTGGTGACTGTAAGACGCCATAGAATACGATTCACACTGTTTTCATCTTCCTCTGCTAATCGGTGACCCTTTGTGCCCTGTGTGCATTCGCTATGCGTCTCCGTTTGTTCATATATACTAATATCACTTAATTATATTCTTCTGCAATAAATCTGCATAGTTAAAAGCTGCACCTTTGACAGTTAGATCTGATTTCCAAGAAATGCAGTAAAACACCAGCAGCTACACGCCTGCACATTGTTTATACCCGTAGATCTGAGTTTCTGAAGGCAAAACAATAAACACACACAGGGAGCGACGTCTACGTGGAATATGAATCAAATGTAGAAGATCTCCTCTAGTTGAGAGCGCTGATCCACCTTGTTTCCACACAAAGAGACTTCCTTTATTTAATTAAAGACTGGAGATCAATAGTGTTCCAGGAAGGACGGGTCATTGTTGTTGCTGATGCCACTACTTTGGATAATGTCTTCTCTACGATACTATGGATGTGAAGCGATTGACGAATCCCCAGACTTACCCACATGATGGATTTTGTTAAATTTTAAGCATGTGTTTGTTAATTCTTTCCCGAGCGCACTTTGTAAAGGCTCATTAGGATAAAATGCACACGTCATAATCCTTGCCTTCGCTCTCATCCGTTAGGCATTTCTATTTCTACCGTCCTCTGGTCTCCCTTCGCTCGCCTTAAATCATGCATGTGTGTTGCATGTCCTGTTCATCCATCAACCTCGTTAAACATACGAGGTCCTTCATTACCGCCGGGCTTATTAGCCTCAGGAAGTGCTGAGGATGCGGCTTCGGCGGAGAGGGGCCTCCCCTCTCAGTCTCTCTTATGATCATCCATTCTGAACCGAAAACCATCAATCCTGTCTCCGGGCCGCCGCAGCGTCTCTTAAAACGCATATTTAACTCTCTGCTCATTGATTGTTGGAAATTGAATGCGTGTCAATTTGAATGAGTGCTACAGTCGTTTAAAAAGTGTTCAGTGTGCAAAACGGGGACGGCTGCCGGTGCAGATTGTTCCCTGTCACACAATAGAGAGGCACCTGGAATATTCAGCCGGCGTGCTCGGGATTGAGCGTTTTCTGATGCGCGGGGTTTTCTCCGCTGACATATTACTGTTAAATTATTTGTGAGGGCTCATTTAAAGATGTCATCGTTCTGCGGGAATCCAATAAAAGCCTGCAGAGACCACCCATATCCAAAAAGAATAATGCCAAACGAGCGCTTCGCTGCTAGAAACGTCACCTTTAAAAATCTGATTTGTACGTTCCAACGGAGAAGCGTAAAGTTTGAAACACCGGCGTTGTGAGAATGCAATTTTAGATCGAGCTGGTTTATTGTTTCATTAACTTCCAATAAAAGGAGAAAAGAGGTGGCTCGTCTTCGATTCACGTGTAGCTCGGAATAGATCCTTCACGCTCCCGCCGTAACTGTTCAATCACAGCCGAGGCGCAGCGTCGATCAAAGTACAGATACAAACCAAACCGGGTAACGCAATCGTACTTTTATGAAATTATAGTGTGAAATGTTTAGTTTGCTGCCACGAGAGCGCTCGTAATCTGGAACAGAGGAGTAATAGTGGTCATAAATTTCATATTTCTGCTCACTTCTCGGTGTGTTTTTCATGGCGTACTGTGTATAAAATCACCTTGTGTGTTTTTTGTATTGAATATACATGATTATTGTTGGATCTCTGGCAGTAGAAGAGCTGGTAGAGCGCTTACAGGCAAAACAGCGTTTCCTTTCTTGGCAAAAAAATTTACGCAAATATAAAAATGACGCATTTATAGCACGACTGTGTGCATCAGCTGTGTGCTTTCTCAGAAGCTTTATGAAGCTGTCGCACACGTCACAGCCCGCGGTTACGACTGTAATGATCCGAAATGAAGGTATGCATGTGCATGTGCAGTGTAAACACCAGGCTGGAGCAGAGATAAGCCGAATACCAGCTCTGGAGGATTTATACGCGCCGCCGCCGCCACCGGGCCGTAACCGGAGTGAGATGTGTGTTTAACATGATCGAAGCTGAGCTCAAAATGTTGTTTCAGTCGATGCGTCTGTCGCTTCCTCGTCGTGAACATACTTGAAAGCTACCAAGCAGCCTTTGAGAATGTTCCAATTGGATGATTTCAGTGTGAGAGAAATTTTTACACTTGATTTATCGCTGTCAGTTGGTTCTAAGCTCAGTAATTTGTCCCGCGGGGCTTTCTGTGTATCTTCACCCCCGTGCAGCGAAGCCCCCAGTGGCAGGCGCCAAACACGCAGCACCGGGGAGCAGGCGGCGGCTTGTTAGAGCAACAGTCTGGTGAACGATTTTGATTACACACCGAGCGTCTTTGCCTCCTTCAGTCGTGCCATTTAACCCACGGGGTGCACGCTCTGCATTCGCGCGGCGGGATTACCGCTCAGCCTGTCCCGGTACTTTTATCAGGTGCAACAGTTGCTTCAGTCTGGCTGCTCAACAGGTGTTCCACAAAGGTCGCATAATGATGCAAGGGGTGGAAAGCAGCGTGTTTAAAGGGATAGTAAAGTGGATTTGCATTAGGGAAACTTATTATGAGCCTTCAGTAGTTAGCGGTGGACACGCCCCGAGTTTGACAGGGTGACCAGCATTCACTCTGAAAGGAGGGTTTGACAAAAAACATAAAAGAACAGTTTGCGTCAATCTTTCTTGAGTTCTGAGAACTTCTAATGAAACTACGTTCAACCAACGAACTCTACTGAGCTACCCACATTAGCTTTAACTAGCACTTATACACTAGCACTAGCAATTATTGGTAGTTTTTAAGTTGATTCCTCATAAAAATAGTTATTTTAAAGGATTGTTTAAGTGTCATGTACTTAATTTGCCATAGATATGAACACAAGTTAGAAGATTATTAAGAAATTAAGTTGATCTAGTGTTTACCAGGTAGCAGAGGGGACTAGAAATCCAACAAGGTGGAGAAAAAATAAGCTATCGGGACCATTTCATAAAGTTACCTCAACTTGAGTTTAGTTTTTAAACTAACTAACGCAGAAATTTGAGTTTGAATCCCACACAGTATAAGATAAGTTAAACCTTTATTGATCCTGAAGGTAATTCTTCTTCTTATTGCTCAGAAAAAACAAAACAAAATGACGTAGCGTGAGAATAAATGCAACGTCTAAAGGTAGAAATACGATTTAAGTTCAATACAATAATGAAATAACATGTCAGCTGAAATAGGACTGGAATAGAAGAGCAAACCATTTAGTGACATCACTCATGGTGATGGAGTCTCACACATTACATTGACAATATGAAAATGAAATGTTTCTGAAAGTGATGTCGCTCAAACTGTTAGGAAAAGTTGTTCTGCGGTTGTTTTCTGCAGAAAGGTGGAGAAGTTAAATAGTCAAGTTAATGACAAGTTGGTGCAACATGACTGTGTTGCATCAAAACGATGTTCACAACCTAACATGTGTCTAAATCAGTAAATCTGAATTTGTTTTCTTGCCACCGTGGTGCGCGGTGGTCAGCACCATCACCTCACAGCTAGAAGGTCGCCGGTTGGCGTCCCGGTGAGGACACCCGGGATCTTCCTGCGTGGAGTCTCCATGTTCTCCCCGTGCAGCGTGGGTTCTCTCCGGGTTCTCCGGCTTCCTCCCACAGTCCAGAAACATGCTGAGGTTAATTGGTGATTGTAAATTGTCCGTAGGTGTGAATGTGAGTGTGCTTGGTTGTCTGTCTCTAAGTGTAGCCCTGTGATAGACTGGTTACCTGTCCAGGTGAACCTGCCTTCACTCTGAGTCAGCTGGGATAGACTCCAGCCCACCATAGTGAGGATTAAGGTGGAGAGGTGATGGATGGAACTGCTTGTGAGCCGTTCAATCGATCTGAGTTCTCTTTATTGACTCGATTGGCAAAAACAGTCATTCAAACCCTCAGAGGTTGCTGACCGCTCGCTCAGTCCTCGTGTGACTTCAGATGTTAGTTCAGATCCAAACAAACTGTCTGTGAGAGTCAGGTGACGTTAGAGTTGCATCCAAATGAGGCAAACAGTCACAAAGCATCAGTTCAATGTCAGAAAGGGACGTTTAATGCCGGAGAGGGGAAAATATCACAAAGCAGCGTACGCTTTAAACGAATGCTGATTTGTTTTTTTTGCAGCAGCACTTCATCACTCAGCTTTTGTGCCGTTCTCCAACTGCCACCTACTGTAGATAATTAACTGAGTATAGACAATTACCTCACAAAATCTCATTTAAAAGAAGCCAAACGATCCCTTAAAGGTCAAGCAAAATGTCACTTAAGTCACCATGTCTGGTCGATCGCAACTTCCAACAGTCAAAAAAGTAACGCACATGTGTCCTATAGGTGAACTATAACCCCCAATATGTCCAGTAGTTTTGTAGTTTGGGATATTTCTTTTCATGTTTTCGTGCAGCACCTCTCTCTGAATGTATTCCACCACTTACATAAACTCAGACTTCACTATTATAATAATGTGGCTGCGGTGTTTTGTTCGTCCTCCGTTCTGTGCCACCACCATCTGGAATTCTGCTGTGAAATCTGGTTTCATTCAGTTTTATTTGCAGTGATGAAACACAGCAACAAGGTAGAAATGAAACACAGGGATGCAAACACAATAGCAGGCTTCATTTTCCCAGGTAAGAAAATAACATCACCGGGTTTAAAACTTTTATATCCGCACCCAAAAACGCTCCTCTTTACAAATTGCTCTTTCATAAGTTTTTCCTGCTGCCACTGTTTCGGTTTTTGACGCCGGTTTCATTTGTTTGCAAGGCTGAGAAAAGAGCTGGAGATGCACAAAGAAGGGGAACTCGAGCGTCTGCGAGAAGCTCTCAGCTCAGAAATTCAGCTCCTGCAGGCAGTAAGTTGCTCCGTTATAAACAATCCTAATAAAACAGGCTTTCATATCCCGCACGTCGCTCCGAAAAATAATAAGTTTTGAATGCGGCACATCAGTATTCATTTTCGTAACATGGCCATAGGAAAAGGAGCTCATTCGTATTCGCCGTCGTTCTCGAGTGATGTCTTTGTGGGCTTTCATTCAGCTTTTTCTTTTATTTGCAGAAGCTGGACGGCAGCCAGGAGAGTGAGCAGCATTAGCGGTGACACCACGATGACAGAGGAAGGTGACCTTTGTTCACCGTTAGGCTCTGATGTTAGAAAACAAACATGCTGATGAATAGACGGAAAGAAGAAGGAGAGACAAGACAGGAAGGAATAAACACGGCAGGAATATAAACTGAACTTGTCATAATATTTAGTCAAATGCAGGCCTTTGCTTTATGTTAGGATTAGTTGGTGTTTAATATTTACTTTGCATGAAACCTCCGTCCTGTGTGTCTCCAAAAAAAACCTTAATCTGTACACTCATGACTGGAAAACCTGAAAAAAAACCCAATAATAATAAAAACGTGTGGACTTTAGCGTCATTTCAATCCTTTTATTTGTACAAGTAGTTGTTTTAATTATAACTACTGATTTTTAAAATGGAACTTGTGCGCCCACTTTCACACAAATGCAAAGAGTGTCACCTAAACGTGATTCTATGCTGCCCTCTAGTGTACAAATGATAACATTGCTATAATCTGTGGCGCGTTCTGCATGCTCCATTGGCATCGAACACCATGGAAACACACTTTGCATGTAAGATAATGACTTCACAGTTATTATTTTTTTGTGTGTAATTTAGTATTTTCAAGTGAAAGTGTTGAAGCTGCAGAGAAATCAACACTAAATGACCAAAAGCATGTGAAGTCGGAGACATGCGTGTGTGATTCGTGTAATTCCAAAACTGTGGGCAATAATAAAGGACATTTCCACCAGATATTTGGACTGTGGCTGCAGGGATTTGCACCCATTCAGCAGAAAGCAACACCTGGCTCACAATCAAGATCTGGTTGTCACAGAG